ATATCTAAAATATAATTGAGAATGTAACAGCGATGACTTAAATTTCAAAAAAATAAATCATAGGCTCTGCATATCAGGAAGGACAGAAATAATATACAGTAGCACTAACACGAGACTTGCAATGCTCATGTAAAAATACCTAATAAACATTAAGATAACAAAAACTACACAGAGGAAGCAGCAGGAAAGGAGAGGAGAGGAGAGGAGGCACATCCCTGAGGAAGTAGTTAATAAGCCGCACAATACGACATCCTGTATCCTGGAGACCCAAATATACCAGCCATCCCCCTTCCCCCAAACTTCCAGATAGGCTTCCAGATAAGCTGATGTGTAGTATATATTAACCACACACTTGTACATACAGCCACAACTAAAAATAACAATACAGTACCCAAACAATTATTTACTGTAATTGTTTTGGTATTCTGCCATCACAGCAGTTAGGTTATTGGTGCCATATACCCAAAGAGGATGTCAAGTTGTAACCGTCTACTATTCCAACCTAATCCTCCCACTGCACTTCCTCTTCCCTTCACTGTACAAGAGGAAACTTGCAAGCCTTCAACTACTTTCACTGGACCATCGTTTTACAATTTCTATATCTGGACATGTGATTATTAGAGTACTTATCTTAATTTTTGTGTTTGTTTCCATTATGAAAATCACTATCAATGTTGTATGTATTAAGGTCTCAATTATCACAACTAGATATAATTTGACTGCACGAAGGCATTCAAGAAAGGTATCCGCGGGCCAACTGTTACAGACTAGGCTTGGGTATAACATTTAAAATAACTGGTGAAAGTGGTATAGTTTGCATACTTTTTTCCATACAAGACAGTGTATGATTTATTAAAGATGTTACTAAGGTGACATCCTGTATACAAATTTAGCATTGTATGTATGCTAATGGGAGATAGAGAAATAATGATAGCATATGTTATATCATTTACATAAAAGGTCAATAAACTCTCAGGCACAAAAGTAGAGCCATCTCCCGTTTTCACTAATCTGAAAACCGTACTGTACATTAACAATTTCATCTGGCGGTGATGCAGTTTGAGTCCATTAACCACTGCACTGCGCCAAACGACAAATGCCGTTCACCCATTACTGCGCCAACCGACAAAAGTATTTATTTTTTCCTACACAGTCAAAACGCCCTCGCGGTAGGTTGGGTACGAAATGGACTCTTGGGACCTCCAGTGAGAGGCAGCCATCTTGGAAAAAATTCCCAGAATGTCCTAGGGCTGCTGGGTGGGTTAGTACCGCGTGAACAACCATGGGTAGCGCACACGCCTCTGGCTCCCAAACACTTGTCCGACGCGGTGTTGAAAGATCGCTCTCTGTTGGTGAAATTCAGACCTCATTGCTTGAAGAACATAAGGGTCATGATATTGATGAAGCTAGGCGCAATAAGGACCTAACACAGAGGTCGGATGCAAGTGATACAGCACCTATTTAGACAATGCAGCGAGCATACAGTGGTACCTCGGAATGCGATTGTCCCTGTATGCGAGGTTTTCGGAAGGCGAGGTGTATTTACTCCAAAAATTTGTCTCAGAAGGCGAGGGTTACTTCGGGAGGCGAGTTTGGACGCGAGTTTGTTGATACGCGTACAGCCGACCTAGCGCGTTCGTCGCCCCTCCGCCCCTCAGTTTATTATTGTCTCGCGCTCAGTGACTACCCCCACATCAATTCTTCTCGCGGATTTTCAGTGTTTTGTTGGATTTTTGGTGATTTGTCTATACAATTTGTTATTATATATCTCACCATGGGTCCCAAGAAAGCCAGTGGTAAGGATAAAGGCCAGAAAGCTCATGTGAGGATGACAATAGAGGACAAACAAGAGATCATTCGGAAGCATGAGAACGGTACACGTGTTGTTGAACTTTGTAGGCAGTACAACAAAGCCACATCAACAATATGCACTATACTTAAGAAGAAAAATAAGATTATGGGTGCTAAAGTGGCAAAAGGAGTAAGAACATTAACGGCACAAAGACCACAAATACTTGAAGAAGTGGAAAAGTTGTTATTAATTTGGATACACGACAAGGAGTTGAGGGGTGATAGTGTTTCGGAGGCCATTATTTGTGAGAAAGCCAGGGTGTTGCACGAAGACCTTCTAAAGAATACCCCTGCAACGAGTGATGCAGATAAGAAAGAGTTTAAGGCAAGCAGGGGCTGGTTTGAAAAATTTAGAAAGAGAAGTGGTATCCATAGTGTTACAAGGCATGGGGTTATGTGATGTGATAATGGAAGGGGACTCCCCTTCCAAACAGTAACTCCTCTCCTCCTCCCCCCTCCTCACCATCTTCCATACGCCTACAGCACTCGACAGCAAGGTAAGTAATAACTGGAACACAGTTTTGTAGGTTTATTTAGATGAATTAGGTAAATTAGGTATAAAAATTTAGTTTGATGTGGGGTTTTTGGGGTAGTCAGGAACGGATTAATTCATTTCCCTTTATTTCTTATGGGGAAATTAACTTCGGAATGCGAGTTTTCGGAAGGCGAGGCGTCTCCAGGAACGGATTAAACTCTTATTCTGAGGTATGCCTGTATTCAGTTGGAGCTCCGAGCGCCATCTTTGCCCACCTATGCCATTTCCAATTTATATAGATGATACAGTACATAGATGAATCGTTTTCTGCGTTCAGTGGTGATGCATCTGCTACAAGTAGCATAGATGAACAGTGTTAGCGGCTTCCATGGTGGTGGGTTTCCATAGATATTTTAAAGAAAAGCTGAATCTCTTCCAGATTGGCAGACAGATCTCCAAAAATGACAATCTTTTCCAATCATGGACCTTACAAAGCTATCTTTTCAAGACTATCTTACAAATTGATCTTTTCCTATAATCTTTTCAAGACTACCTTACGCTTTACAAGCTTGGCTACATACCACCTACATACAAATACTAAAGCCAAGGGTGTAACAATGTATGCGAGTGCATTATTTGCAAGCACACAGAGCGAAGAAACAGGAAGCGAAAATCTATCTGTACCTGGTGCAACGAGAGCGAAGTCGCACTGTGTACCATAGACTACTTCGTTGATTATTACTCACTTCCGAAGTACTGAGTGTGTAATACAGTGCGTTACTGTGCAATTAGTGTATGAAACTGTACATATTGTAATTTTAGTGAATTTTTAACAAGTAATATTGCAACAAACATTTATTGTGGACACATTACCGACATGTATGACAGTTCCATGGAACATTATGAACATTCTATTGAATACATATTGTAAAGCACACAAATATGCATCATATACGATAAAAAACAAACAAAACCACATTGTAAATATATAGAACAAATATTTGAAAATATATTTGTGGCAACTTGCTGTGCTTGAATGGCCCGTGTGACCGCCTCTGGGAGCTTCACGCACAGGTGACCAGCCCGTGATGACGTCACAGCGCACCTTGTCCACGTCCCCACAGGCAAAGTAAGTGGAATTTGGTATTTATTTTTACATAGATATGTTCAGGGAAGGGAACTTATTTTACAAACAAAATAATTTTTTGGGAATACTGTACTTTATTTCATGCGCACAGGGGGAATGTCACAAACTCGGCGCATCACAGTGGTTAATAATCTTATGGATGTCCGACAGGGACTCATGTTGCATCCAAAATTAAAATATTTATTAAAACTCTATTGTTTATTTAATAGTTTTATTATTATAGTTTTAAAATGTGCACTTTTAGATTGCAAACAATTTGATACCAGAATGAACAACATAGCTTTAAAATTGAGGTGAGAAAACTGAACAGGATTTACACATTGCAACGCTCAAGGGTAACACTGCCGATTTTCAGGTTTACTGCCGGTTGCACGCCAGGCTTTTTGACCTTATATGCATATATCATTTAGAGAATTCCATTTCGAACAACTTGATACCAAAATGAAAAATGTAACAAAAATTGACCCGAGTAAACTGAAAAGAGCACACACATTTTAGAGCTGTTGCATGCTCATGGGTAACACTGACAATTTTCGGGTTTGCTGTGGGTGATATGCCAGGCTTTTGGACCGTATATGCATATACCCCTGTAGGGAATGCTATTGCGAACAATTTGATACCAAAATGAACGACGTACAACAAAAGCCGAGGTGAGGGGGGGAAAGGAAAAAAAAAAGTACTGTACACACATTTTAGCGTGGCCGCTCACTCATGCGAAACATTCAGCCCACCTTGGGGTAGGCTGGGGCGCGCATGCCGGGAATGTGAAAGTGTTAATTTTATTCACTGCTCTTCACTATTTTTCTTTCGATAGCAGTGTGAATTATATAAACCGATGAGTGGTATTTTGACAAATGAGACTCGTTACAGAATGCTTATTCATTCATAACATAACTCAATATTACAACACCAAAAGCGACATTACCATTTTGAACTTTCCAAGAAACTCGGGAGGAGGGGGGGGGGGCTTTTCCTCAACTGTACACAACCCGTTCTCGCAAATTCGTAAAGTCAATATTGACTTATTAACTACGTGCATAGGTGATATACTAAACATAATAGATACCCTTAAAAAGATTCATAGAAAACACCGACCTTACCTAACCTTGTTAGTATCTTAAGATAAGCATCTTATTGCTTCGTAATTACAATTATTACTTAACCTATACCTATTATAGGTTAGGTAATAATTGTAATTACGAAGCAATAAGATGCTTATCTTAAGATACTAACAAGGTTAGGTAAGGTCAGTGTTTTCTATGAATCTTTTTAAGGGTATCTATTATGTTAAGTATGTCACCTATGCACATATTTAATAAGTCAATATTGACTTATTAAATTTGCGAGAACGGGTTGACTGTACAGTACCTAAAAATGCAATTGGGGAAAACAAATCTGACTCGCTTATCTCTCCTGCTCCCAACCACCACCACCAACTTTTCAGTCTCACACGACACAAACACACTCTTCACCTTGACTTATTTCCTTCCTACTCTTAACACTCGTCCATTCTATATTCTCACTTACCTGATCCATCATGATGTTGTTGAGTGTGTATTCCACTGCGGTACGCACAATCTTGCTGGCGACAGAGGAACGGGCTTTGCCAAAGTGATTTGTAGTGCCCTGTAAAAATGAGGTTGAAAGAAGTGGGTCATTGACAGTACTGTATACATTGTCACACCAGGACTAACATACATCACCATATTGTTTACTCCAAATATACAATATACACTCACCCTATACACAAGACAAGGTGATCTATGAGAATGATTCCTTTGAGGAAAAACTGGCAAATTATATAAATGATTATGTCATTCATTAACAACTAGTATAAAATGTAAATGCCCCTGTAAGGACAAAAGATGTACATGTTATAACCTCTAACACTCAGGTAGCAGAAACCATAAGCAAATATTTGCATAAGGTGGTTATACCAAGACAGAGAGAACTATCAACATCAGAGGCCTGAGACTGTTCAACACGCTTCCGCTACACATAAGGGACATAACTGGCCAACCCCTCACAGTGTTCAAGAGAGAACTGGATAAGCACCTCCAAAGGATACCTGATCAACCAGGCTGTGACTCATACGTCAGGCTGCAAGCAGCCGCGTCCAACAGCCTGGTTGATCAGTCCAGCAACCAGGAGGCCTGGTCGACGACCGGGCCGCGGGGACGCTAAGCCCCGGAAGCACCTCAAGGTAACCTCAAGGTAAGGTATCCCTAATTTCTTATGCAAACATATTTTAATGCACATATGAAATTTCCAAAATACAAGTCCACACCTTTTACATTATTCACCACGAGAAAATCAGTAGGAGCCATGAGGAGGATTTGAACCTGCATGCTGGGTACTCCCAACCACACACCTACAAGGCGGTCCCACCTATAGGCGGGACCAAAGAGTCAGAGCTCAACCCCCGCAAACATAACTAGGCGAGTACAATATGACATGCTTGAAAGCAATGCAATCAGGGATTTACCCGAATTATCTAGGACTGAATTATCCCAAGACTTCCACTGAAGCCTAATCAGGGTTTCATGCATTACCTTCCCCCCCCCATGCATTATCTATTGTTTAGGAGTTCTACCTCAAACGCTTCTCTTCAAATGCACACACAAATCACATTTATATGATGTATCAATGAGAAAATTAGTAGGAGCTATGAGAATTCAAACCCCAGACGATTCAGTCGAAACCTAGGTTGCATTACTTTTGACCATATCATGGTGTAGTGGTCTAAGGCATGTGCATGAGAGTAATGGAGTGCCAGTTTGAATCTTCATGGCTTTATTAATTTTCTCATCGATAGCATTATATTTTCGACATGATTAAATGCCAAGTTTGACTATGTAGTAAGACAGATATTGAGTGGGGGAGTAAAGATGGCTATTGTGTTTTGAACCCTGTATTTTGTTTGCCTTCATTTTTACCATACCTAAGTACCTGGAATTTATGACTATTAATGTTATTTTCTGCTACTCAATTGAAATCAGTTTGTAGTTTTCCAACGACTTCTACAGAAGGATTTTTCATACCGATTTTTGTATCATTGGCAAAAGATGACATGAAGCTGTGACTTGTAATTTTGTCTATATCTGACATGAGAATAAGGAAAAGCAGTGTTGCAGGGACTGTGCCCAAAGATACAGTACAGAGCTTTTAACTGTGCTTGGACTCCACTTTATTTGGTGACCGTTACTCTGAGTTTGACAGAAAATTTAATATTGATCACCCTACTTTACCCAGGACCGTCTTAACAGCACTATGGGACTAGTTGGATGACTATTTAATCATTTGCTTTTCTTTTCGGGGGAGCTCTTTGGCTCTGTTCGGACGTAGGATGCAATTTTTACCAGTTAGGGGTTTGTATTGGTTCGCCTATCTTCCTGGGTGCCCTCCCCAGTCGATGGCAGACATGACACTAAATACAGAGAGCTCATTATGGCCATGCGCCTTTCTCAGGAGAACAGGTTCTGGCTCGTGGTCCACGGTAGGCACAGAACTCCCGGGACTGATGACACCAAACTAATATGGCACATGTCAGTTTAGATAGCTTCAGGAGAGTCGACTGGGCTTCCCACAGAAATTCCTCACAGGTATTTGCAGATAAATATGACCAATTCCCTTTTCCAGGATTTCCATACATTTTGAGATGATCTTCCAAGAAAGGGTCAAATTGACTCAGCACCTCTAGTATACTTAAATAGTTGCCATTTTTCCCTGACCCAATAATCTAATTTTCTCCATGAACGCAAACCTCTAGAGGCAAGAAAATGACTTATAAAAACCACATGTGTCAAAACTTTATGCCAATATTCCTGCTCTGAACGACGTTGCTCAAGTAATGAAGAATCTACACTTTGTTTCGTTATGCCTTGTCAAATATGCTGTCATGCACTTTCAATTTTCTTGTCCATTTTCATGTTCTACAATAATATTGCTGTGCAGCCGACCTTGGGATGGTGAATAGAGTAGCCATTCATGTTTTACATACTCACCATTCCACAGTTCATGTTTGAACACACTGATAAATACCTTGCCTCAGTTTCTACTCCAGCTGTTTTATACACCCTCGCGAGTTTGAAAGATTGCTCATCAGTATTCCGACAAGAGGGCCCACTATGAATCCAATAATATATTGTGTTAGTATCATTAATGTTCCATAACCCCGGATCTGTTTCTTTGATTGCATTGGTAGCAGGAATGGATGTAGATGTGGATGCTATATTTGAAGGAACAGTACTTATAGCTGACACCGCAGGAGTGGATGCCGATGTAGATGCTATATCTGAAGGAATAATATGAGTGGCTGTCATTGCACCTGTGTTGAACCAAGATGTTAATTTTGGAAGTTTTCCCATTTTCTTCTTTTCCTCTGCAGCCCTCTTCCTCTTCTGTGCTCCACTCAAAAAACAAAGTTTTATTTCAGCTGAAAGGGTTGTTCACCAGGAATATATATATAAAATATTTAGTATAGTATTTAGTCCCACACCAAGATGTTATATAATATAGTTATATAATATAAGTGTGCTTGGAACAAGACCTAAATATTTAAACATTCTGCTTCCATAATGAACATGTCCTGTGCTCGTGGGGCACCCAAACAAGTGCCCATCAGACCCATGTGGTAAGATGGCTCTGACTTTACCCGTTATTCCTACTGACCTCATTTTGTGGGCTATCACTCCATGGTCACATTTATCAAATGCCTTTGCAAAGTCCATGTAAACCACACCTTCATTCTGTTTTCCTTCTAATGCATCAGTGATTTTGTTATAGTGGTCGAGTAGCTGCAAAAGGTATGATCTTCCTGATCACATATGTTGACCTGGGTTATGGAGGTCACTGGTCTCAATAAAACTGGAGATATCCCCTGATCACTCTCTCAAAAATGTTTGTGGGACATTAGTGCAACTGGTATATAATTCTTAGCAAATGCTTTGCTTCCTCCCTTGTGTAGGAGAGCTGTGTGCTAATTTAAGCTCTTCTGGTATCTCCCCAGTGTCCAAGTTTTTCTCCATACTACATGCACCAAGTGCTTGTGCTACTGACACTTTACACTTTATAAATATCAAATTCCAAGAGTCTGGACCCGGGCCCGAGTACATGGGCATGTTGTCAATTTCTCTCTAAACATTTGCAGAGTTTGTGTTGATATCGGTAATATTTTTGATATTATGCATAAAGAAGCTGCCTGGATCTTCCACTTTCAATCTGGGTCTTTTTGGGGGGTGGTAAACATATCCCCAGGGCTTTTTTAGAATTTCACTAATTTCTTTGTCATCCTTTACCTTCACTTGTAAGCAATTATAATACCGACAGTTTTTTATTTTAATTTTGCACATGAAGAAATATTTGGAATTTTTCTTTATCTCTTGTATGACTTTCTGTTCAAACTGCATTTCTTCAATCTAACATGATTGCTACACTGACGAAGATAGTACAGTATGCAGGGAAGACATGGCATCCATCACCCGAGCAGCGCCAGGTACTCCATCTAATATGCTATATAGCCATGCTGGCCTTAGTCCTTGTGGCTCAGTTTTCCTTCTTCCAACATATTTTAAAGATGTTTATCTAATATATCAACATGTTATCGAAGGATATATTTGAAGAGTTCATTTTTTTTTATTACTGTACAGTATATCCAATGATGTAAGTGCTATAAAATTTAAGTACAGATGGCCAGACATTGATGAATGGGCCAGGAACAAGTAACCTTATCCTAAGTTAGACCTAATAAGCAGAAACTAATTTTTAATTCTAAGTGCTATCAACGAACAATGCCACGATTTTAACTTGAACTGGACCGACTACAATACAGAACTATATTTCTTACATGAATTTGTCATAACATTCTCCACAGAACTGGAAGAAAACATCAATTCTGCATTTGCACTTCAATTAAAAAATGAGATAACATTAATATGACCGAATGCAATAAATATACCTGTAATTATGTATGAATTTGTAAAAAATACAAACTTAATTTCCCCATTAATCAACAATTATTTATATAATTTCCAAGTTCTTCCCATAGTTGAACATTAGAAAACGAGACCTTTATTAATAACAGTAAAGTGTACAGCACTATTTGACCAAAAAAAGTGAGTAGTTTACATACTTACTTTGCTCTATGTGGCAAGAGGCACTAACGGTGTAAGGCGACCTACAAAAATTAAAAAAAAAATCTGTTTTAACACAAGCAAGAAATCAAGCCTTCCAATATTCTGTATAGATACAGGCTATAAATTTGGATTTAATTTGTAGTTCACAAGAATAAAATTTGAACTTAAGGGGGAATGAGTTCCAGATTTCCAAAAAAGTGCATTAAATGAAAACTAGTTCGATTTCAATCAAACTTTTTTTGACTAGTTGTATATGAAAAGGGTATCATCTGGTCCAAGTCTCAGCATCGTAGCATAACTAGGAAGGGAGAAAAAAATATTGAAGTAGGTGTCAAAAATTTTCCAAAATAGTAAAAAATGATTATCAAATACAGGTGTCAACTAAAATCATGTCTATGACTCTCGGCTATCACAAAAGCATATATTAAAAAAATTATAATTAGTTTTATTAAAAAAAAAAGTTAAAAAAAAAAAATTCTTTCTTTAATTTGATTTGATTTTTCTTATTTGTTTATCGGACAATTTGCATAAAACTTATACACCTGACTGCACGTAAGCCTATACGTAAGGGTGCCAATTTTGAAGGAAATTGGTTGATGTCACCCTCAGCCACAGATTGCAGTACCTTAGACTAATATTTTTCAAGAATTATTTTTCAAGTAACATAAACGACTCTACATCTTTAATTTTTATTCAATTTACATGAAACTTACATCTTATATGTAAAGTGTTTGTCTCTAAAATATGTAGCAAGAGTTTTGTTCCAAGTTCATTTATTGATTTTATAAATAGCAATAAACATGATATATCTGCATAATTTTTGGGGGAACTTTAGTTTTCTTAATAAAAATAGTCAAAGATGTTTTGGAAAATCCCTTTCTACAGATCCTTTATTATATGCTAATGTGTCAGAAAAGTGTCATTGAAGGATTATATCTGAAAAGATGAAAGAGTAGAGTTAACTAGAAAATGTGTAACATTCGTTGAAAAAAAAAAAAAATCTCCCTTTTTATTTAGGCTGCAGTACTGAAACTTGGAATAATTGCAGCCCTTTTCATACACTAGTCAAAAAATATTGGTTTACATTGAACAACTTAAAAAATCAACTCATGCCCTCTTAAAGCATTTTATAAATTCTTATCAATAATGAAAAATGGGGTTCGTGTAACATGAAAGGCTCTTAAAACAGGTTCCCCTGTTGCTCCCAGAGCCAGAGCCCACATTCCACACCGAACGTGAGAAAATTCAGAATCTCATATTTCACCATCACCAAGATAAGTATTTTTGCAAGTGGTATCGTCATGGAACCAGGAACAATCCCCTATGAGTGTGGCAGAATTAGGAGTCCAACACCAAGGTATAATACAAAGTCACAAGGTAGTGGTACAGAACAAAAACCAGTTAATTGTTGAAGGCCTATTGGCCCATACAAATCAGCTTCTACTTATATGTGAATGTGTTTGGGTGGATATATGCAACTAGAAGGGTAACCCAGCATTGCTTGTGTGACTGAAGCCACATCTTCATTACATAATATCACTATTTCCATTATTCAGTAAATGCCAGATACCTTACCTACAACCATCATCATCTCTACCTTTCCTAACCTTCATCCTCTCTACACATCACCACCTTCCCCCTCCTTCACCCGGTAGAGCAACGGTGTCGCTTCATGCAGGTCAGTGTTTAATCCCCGGCTGTCCAAGTGGTTGGGCACCATTCCTTCCCTCTGTCCCATCCCAAAATTCTTGTTGTGATAACTTCCCAGTGCAATAGAGGGTGGAGTCTGGTACAGTATTTACCAAAATTGAAAATTTGCATCATTTGCTATTTCATGCAAAGTTGGGGGTTAGGCTGTGCCATAAATATCAACCCCAATACACCTATAACCATCTCCGAGTAACCACAAGTCACCCTGTAAAGTTTGGGACTGGCTGCAAGTGTGTCTAACCATAAACAGACACCCTTTTATAGATATAGATTACCCTGTAATTTGTTCCAATAATCACTGCCCTATTTCCAAACCAAAGTCCTTCCTAAATCTAAATTTATCCAATTTATATCCATTGTTTCCACATTCTATTTTGTGTTGATTATTTAGCACCTTATTAATATCCTCATCAAGAAAATCCACAAGAGTTGTGATGAGGATTCGAACCTGTGCACTGGATATCACCAGATGCACGCTCTAAACGACTACACCACAACACTTTCAAAAGAATTGCAACCTTGGGTACTGTTGCACCCATTAGAATCCCTGAGGCTTCCACTGAAGCAGAACAAGGGTTTCACACAATTCCTCTATGCACTCTGGCTCTATTGTCTAGTAATTCTACCTCTGATGCCCCTCTTAATACACACACACAAATTACATTATCGTGATATTGTATATCAATGAGGAAATTCACAGGAGCCATGATGTAGTCGTTTAGTGTGTGCATCTGGGAATACCCAGTGCACAGGTTCGAATCATTATCACGGCTCCAGTGGATTTTCTCACCAATATATCACTATAATGCAATTTCTCTGTAAATAAACTTTGATAAACTTTTCATCCATTTGTATGTCACTTTTCATCCATTTGTATGTCACCTCTCCTTGCCTTTCTAGGAAATATAAATTAAGCCTGCTTAATATCTCTGCATATGGGAGCTTTCTAATTACAGTACTGGGATTAACTTTGTCATCCTTCTCTGTACTCGCTGAAATGAATTTATAAATGTCCATTCTATAGATTACAAGGCATAGATTACATTTTATAGGCCCTCAGGTGCAGGTGGCACCCGAGTGCCACCTGCATATAGATTACAACCAATAGGTAATTTCATATTCACATAACCACTGGACTGCGCCAAACGATAACTGCCGCTCGTCCATTGCTGCGCCAACTGACAAAAGTATTTTGTATTTTTTCGTACACGGTCGAAACACACTCGCGGTAGGGTAAGTACAAAATGGACTCTTGGGACCTTCAGTGAGAGGCAGCCATCTTGGAAAAAAATTCTCAAAATGTCCTAGGGCTGCTGGCTGGGTTAGTACCGAGTTAGCAACCATGGGTGGCACACGCACATCTGTCTCCCAAACACCTGTCCCACAAGGTGTTGAAAGATCGCCATGTCGATGAAATTCAGACCTTATTGCTTGAAGAACATAAGGGTCATGATATTGATGAAGCTAGGCGCAATAAGGACCTTACACAAAAGTCGGATGCAAGTGATACAACACCTATGAGGATGATACAGCGAGCGTATCCAGTGTAGCTCTGAGTGCCACCTTTGCCCACATATGCCATCTCCAGTTTATATAGACGATACATAGATGAATCGTTTTCTGGGTTCACTGATGATGCATCCGATACAAGTATTGTAGAATAGATGAACTGTGTTAGCAGCTTCCATGGTGGCATTTTTCATAGATATTTTCAAGAATGGCTGAATCTCTTCCAGTCAGAGACCTTACAAAGCAATCTTTTCAAAACTTCCTTGCAAATTGATCTTTTCAAAACTACCTTACACTTTACAAGCTTGGCTACATATCACCTACAAGTACTAAAGCCAAGGGTGTCATGCTAAGGTTATGCTAGGTGTAGCTGTTGGTTTAGGAGTTGCCTACAGCCCCCATGGCATAGTGGTAGGACGCTCGCCTGGCGTTCCAAGAGTGCTTTGGCCTGGATTTGTATCCTGGCCCGGGAGGATTTACTGGATGCATATCCTTAACTGTAGCCTCTGTTTACCCAACAGTAAAATGGGTATCTGGTTGTTAAACTTTTTGGCGGGGTGGTATTCTGGGGAACAGGATTAACGACCCTACCCAAAACACTATGGGTGCTAGTGGCTTTACAAGAATGTACGAACTCTTGTAAAAATAAATAAATAAAAAAATTAATTTGTTACATCTGCACACAAAATTTAAATTGGTCATAAAACATAATTTACACATTAATATCTTACCTAACTAATAATCAAAACAATTTGATATACATAAAAACATAGTTTAACGTATACATAAAATTAAAATGTGCACATCTTCACAGGACAGACGCAGAATATTTGAAACTCAACCTTCCTATTAAATACTTAAAGATATAAAATAGCGTGTTCGAGGCATTATAATATAATATAACAAAGCATGAAATATGTTGCCAAGACACATAATTCTAACAAGACACACAACCCCGCTACCTGGAGGCGCTGAGGTGTTCCTGAGAGTGGCCACAGAAGCTCAGGGCCGCCAACATGTAAACACTTTCCAATAATGTTTACAGTTTATGCCAAACTTTACGTCTGGGGATTAATTTATCATAATTAAGGTATTTGTACATAATCTAATGTAGTTTATTTGTCTAAAATGAAAGCGAAAAAATATAATAAATAAAAACATTATTCAGTTGTAAATTTTAGAACAATATGAAATACACTGCATGTTAGTTAGTTTAGTTCATTTATTCTTTTACCTAAATTTACCAGAGGGGGCCACTATCTCTCTAATGGCCTCAATGGGGACAGGAAGCTGGCGGCTTGTCAAAGGACCTCCCATTGTTGATGAGGCCTTTTTTCCAACTGGGGTTTGAAATGAATTTGTCTTACCATCATGTAAATAAAGGGACCAAGTCTATAGAACTAAATATGATAAAATATTTATTCAGGTTTAACTGACTCCCTAACAATTTTAAATTTCTTTCTTTATTATGCACCCCATACCCATCCCGTGGGCGGTGGTGTAAATGATTACAGAAGCACATAATCGGTTCAGGAACTGAACCCTCTCGAATTAAAAAAAAAACTATCAACCTATGCTTTATTCAAAAGTAAAACCAAAAAGTACTCATAGTCCTGTTATAAGTGACTTTAGACCAAATGGTAGGAGGTACTTTGAGCTCTATAATTACTTCATACACTCAGGAATATTGGAAATTATTCTTATTCTAAAAATTAAAAAGAAATTATTCTTATTCTAAAAAAAGCAAGAGTAACCCCTGTCCACAAATGTGGTGATCTCACAAATGTTAACAACTACAGACCTATATCAATCCTGCCTAACTTGTCAAAAATATTTAAAAAAAAATAATCTACAAGCAGCTTTACTCTTATCTAGCCAAACACAATATACTAATTAGCTCTTGTCAATATGGCTTCAGACCCAAAAAAAGCACTAACGATGCACTTATTAGTATGATTAACTTGATTCATGCAGCTCTTGATAAAAAGGAGTTCCCTGTTGGGTTATTTGTGGACCTGCGTAAGGCTTTTGACACTGTCAACCACCAAAACCTTCTTCTTAAATTACATCATTATGGAGTCAGAGGACACTCCCTGCAATACCTCAAATCTTACCTTACTGACAGGCTCTAGTATGTTTCTGTGAATAATTCAATTTCTCCCACCCTACCCATCAACATTGGTGTTCCTCAGGGCAGCATACTTGGCCCTCTCCTCTTTCTCATCTACATTAATGACCTTCCAAATGCCTCCCAACACCTCAAACCAATTCTATTTGCTGACGACACAACCTTCATTTACTCCAGTCCTGATCCCCTTGCTCTAAATGCCACAGTAAATACTGAGCTAAATAAAGTCCATCTTTGGCTAACTGCCAACAAACTCACCCTTAAAATTGACAAAACTTTCTATATTCTGTTCGGCAATAAATCCTCTAATCAAATAAATCTTAAAATAAACAATACCCAAATTTGTAACAAATTAGATGCCAAGTTCCTTGGCGTTCTCATTGACCACAAGCTGAATTTCCAGGGACACATTCTAAATATATCAAAAAAAGTTTCAAAAACCGTTGGCATTCTTTCTAAGATCAGATATTATGTACCCCGCCCTGCCCTGGTGAATCTCTATTACTCCCTCATCTATCCATATCTCAACTATGGTATTTGTGCTTGGGGTTCTACTACCCAAAATCATTTACGTCCTCTAATTACTCAACACAAAGCTGCTATTAGGACAATATCCAACTCTGGCCCCAGACATCACTCGGTACCCCTACTCAGTTTAGTTTAGTTCATTTATTATGCACCCCATACCCATCTTGTGGGCGGTAGTGGAAAGGGTTACAGAGGTACATAATGGGCTCAGGGACTGAACCCCACAATTCATTTAGCTAAGCAAGTTACAATCTTGATGAGCTAGTTACAAAATTCAATATAAGTCGTCACATCAACAATGGGTTCGAGATCGACCTCAAGTACAGGTTCTAAATTAAGCAACTGACATATGTGGAGAGCTAGTGTCAAAATTTATGTTTGTCCTGCACACCGCCCCCCATCCAGTGGGCAGCGGTGGATAGGTTACAATCACTTAGTTACTACCTACAGTTAGCAAACTGGGGATATTTGGCTAAAATTTCTGGTAGCAGATCATTTTGAATGAAATATTGACACATCGCTGGAACATTGGTTATAGAATTGTCTCTGAATTCACGTATCTTTTCGCACTCCATCACATAGTGACGGAGAGTGTGTGAATAATTTTGTTGACACAGTTTACATTTGGTCAGGTCTACATCAGCAGATAATGAGAATTCCCAGAGATATTTGTAACCGAGTCTAAGCCGAGCAGTAGTAACATTTAGAAGTCTGCTGATTTTATTGGATGATCCATAGATGTGTGGCTCCTCTTGCATGATAGTATGATGATAGATGGAATTACTGGTGTCAATTTCACTTTGCCTCAGATCTACAAGATCTTGTTGAAGTTCTCGGTGTACTGCTGCTCTCAGATTTCTCATTGACAATCCAAGGTTACACTCAACGGCTCCTTTAAAGGCAGATTCTTTGGCTAACCTATCAGCTCTATCATGCATTCGGAGGCCAACATGAAATGGAGACCACATGAAATGGACTCTGTTACCATCCTTAATAATTTTGTTGTATTTGTGTCTAGCTTCGGACACGAGCATGTTACAGTTATGTCTTAAAGAGTTGAGAGCATTTAAGGATGATAAGGAGTCACTTACAATTAATGTATCAAGTTTGGAGACTTGTATACATTTCAGTGCAAGGATCAAGGCAAATAGTTAAAATAAATAAATAAATATAAATATGTTTATTCAGGTAAGGTACATACATACAAGTGATGTTACATTAATGGATTGATATATAGATAGAGCTAGTACATACAATGCCTAAAGCCACTATTACGCAATGCGTTTCGGGCAAGAAAAACATTAATATCTAGAACTTAATACTAATTGAGCATAAAGAATAAAAAGTGTTGAAAACAAATTCAAATAAAGATAAAAAAAAGGGGGAACATGACTGAAAAAGCAGCACAAATACAATAGGTTGACAAACAGTGTTGATTAAAAAAAAAAATAATAATAATAAAATAAAATAACAGACATGGGTTGACAATAAAGGAGTGAGGTGGGTTACAGGGAATTTATTAGGTATTGTTTAGTTTTTATCTTAAACTGGTTGAGAGAGGTACAGTCTTTAACATGGTTGGGAAGGTCATTCCACATTCTGGGTCCCTTGATTTGTAGAGCATTTCTAGTTTGATTAAGTCGTACTCTAGGAATATCAAAACTGTATTTATTCCTGGTGTGGTGCTCATGGGTTCTGTTACAACCTTCAATGAAGCTTTTGAGGTCAGGATTGGCATTACAGTTCAGCGTTTTATATATGTATAATACACAAGAGAGAATGTGCAGTGACTTAATATCTAACATATTCAGAGATTTGAGTAAGGGTACCGAGTGATGTCTGGGGCCAGAGTTGGTTATTGTCCTAATAGCAGCTTTGTGTTGGGTAATGAGAGGACGTAAATGATTTTGGGTAGTAGAACCCCAAGCACAAATACCATAGTTGAGGTATGGATAGATGAGGGAGTAATAGAGAGTAACCAGGGCAGGGCGGGGTACATAATATCTGATCTTAGAAAGAATGCCAACAGTTTTTGAAACATTTTTTGATATATTTAGAATGTGACCCTGGAAATTCAGCTTGTGGTCGATGAGAACGCCAAGGAATTTGCCATCTAATTTGTTACAAATTTGGGTATTGTTTATTTTGAGATTTATCTGATTAGAGGATTTATTGCCAAACAGAATATAAAACGTTTTGTCAATGTTAAGGGTGAGTTTGTTGGCAGTTAGCCAAAGATGGACTTTCTCTAGCTCAGTATTTACTGTGGCATTTAGAGCAAGGGGGTCAGGACTGGAGTAAATGAAGGTTGTGTCGTCAGCAAATAGAATTGGTTTGAGGTGTTGGGAGGCATTTGGAAGGTCATTAATGTAGATGAGAAAGAGGAGAGGGCCAAGTATGCTGCCCTGAGGAACACCAATGTTGATGGGTAGGGTGGGAGAAATTGTATTATTCACAGAAACATACTGGAGCCTGTCAGTAAGATAAGATTTGAGGTATTGCAGGGAGTGTCCTCTGACTCCATAATGATGTAATTTAAGAAGAAGGTTTTGATGGTTGACAGTGTCAAAAGCCTTACGCAGGTCCACAAATAACCCAACAGGAAACTCCTTTTTATCAAGAGCTGCGTGAATTACGTTAATCATACTAATAAGTGCATCGTTAGTGCTTTTTTTGGGTCTGAAGCCATATTGACAAGAGCTAAGTATATTGTGTTTGGCTAGAAAAGAGTAAAGCTGCTTGTAGATTAGCTTTTCGAATATTTTTGACAAGTTAGGCAGGATTGATATAGGTCTATAGTTGTTAACATCAGTGAGATCACCACATTTGTAGACAGGGGTTACTCTTGCTTTTTTTAGAATGTCAGGAAAGGTTTGGAGTTCAAGTGACTTGTTGAAGAGCAATGCAATAGCAGGGGCTAGAGATCTGGAGGCTTTTTTGTAAATTAAAGTTGGTATCTCCTCGAGGGCACTAGACTTGGTTTTAAGGGAAAGGATTATTTCATTGACATCAGTGGAACTAGTAGGCTTTAGGTACAGAGACTGTGGATAGTTACCTGTAAGATAGTCCTTAACATCAGTACAGGAAGATGGAATATCATTTGCAAGGGATGACCCAATGGAAGAGAAGAACCTATTGAACTCAATAGCAGAATCAGAGGCTGAAAGCTGACCAACGTTATTGGAAAGGAGTGTTGGTTTGTTATTTAAAATCTTCTTTGATCCCAATATTTGTGAAATTGTGCTCCAAGTTTTTTTAATGTTGCTTAATGTTGTTTAATGTTGTTTTTTAATGTTGCAAGTTCAGTCTGAAGGGTAGAGGCCCAGTTGTTTATACGGACTCCCCACTCAAAGTATAGGCCATCGCCCATTGTCAGGACAACTGCACTTCCAGCTGCACCC